GAGGCGGTCTTGGACCCCTCGGCGGTCTGGCCCTCCTCCGAGCCGGTTGAGGGCGGAAGTACGGGGCCTTTCCCTGTTGTCATTATGGCGGTCCCGGGACTGAACTTCCTGGGAGGACGTATCTTGGGCCACCACCCCTTCGTCGTTTCTCACCCGAGGGGTGGGATTTCCGAAGGGGTGTGGCAGAGGGGGAAGTATGATATTTTCCCCGATCTGAGGGTGAGCAGGAGCCAGGGTGCCGAAGGCACCCGGGTTCTGGGTGAGCGTTTGGATGAAGGCGGAGAGCGCCGATTGTACGTCGATGGTGAGAACCGGAGGGCTGACTTGGTCATCGCTCCGGTTTTTCTTCTTGGCCTCGATGCCGAGGCGGGCATCGGGGGCATTTTGTTGGATCTGAAGGCGTAGGTCGACAGCCGCCTGTTCCAGCCCAGCGATGACACCGCCCTCGGGAGCCCTGTGAGAGGCTTCGGGGGCGTTGACGTCGCCGAGGGCCAGGTTCTTGTCTTCTACGTTCTTTGAGTTGGCACGTGTTGTCCTCACCATTTTGATAGAGGGCTAGTGTTTTGTGTTTGGTCGAGGGGGAGGGTTTCTTACTCGATTGTTCGACCTCTCAACGAGAGCACCAAATGATGGATAGTCTACCCGGGGGTATATATCCGAAGGGTTATTACGGGGAATAACTTAGAGAGAGGCCAGAGCAAGTAAAAGTAGAGAGAGAGTGTATTCAGTATGAATGCCATTTTCAGCGTGGTTACAAATGGGGAAATGGGGTGCTATTTATAGTAGCAATAAATGCCGGGCAGGGACACGTGTCAGGCGCTCATTGGCCGAGGGGTCACCTCAACTGGTTGGCGCTGGCAGCCGCATGTGGCCGCATTTAATGCGGCTGTTGGATGGGACGTCTGTACAGGGTACGGTGATCTGTACGCATGTGAGGCGGATATCTTGTCGAGTGAGATGCCTTCGGCCATAGAGCAGTAGCCGAAGGCTCCTCCAACCGAGGGCACCTTGGTGCCGAAGGCTCACAGTACCGAGGGCTACTGTTTTCGCCGTTTTCTCCCAGTTTCTTAGTTTGCTTGAGAAACCCGTTCGGTGAGAGTTTTAGACCCTTCGGCCAGGGGGCCGAAGGCACCCCTGGCGCGTAGTGCGGGCTGCTTGGTACTCTGGGCGCTGTGATTTGGGCCTGTTGGGCCTTCGCTGGAGTAGTAGGAGTCTGTGGGCCGGGGGGTTCCCGGGCCATATACTCCATCATAACTAACATTGTTAAATATCATTAATTTACAATAATATATAATTCACACTTAACTAATAAAGTTTGAATCCTAACTTAAATCACTACAAATCCTAAATTATGCATCAACAATAATTAACTAATTAATAAACAAATTAAACCTAATCATCATCATTGATCAATCAACTAATATTTAAATCTAACTAATATTATCAACTCATCAAATTCTAAACCCATTTCCTCAATGTTTTAACTTAATTAATTAGTTAATTAATTTACGTTTAACTAATATTATTGTTAAATATTATCTCATTAATAATTCACAATAATAATTCACACTAAACTAAATAATTATAATAAAGTTTCAATCCTAGCTAGCTATATTATGCATCCCATTAACAATAATTATTGCTAATAAATAATAATTGGTGATAATTAATAACCTAATAATTAAGCTAGCTAACTTAATTAAATCACTACAAGTCACTAATTAATTAATCTATAATAAGCTAGCTAATACTTAAATCATCACTACACATCCTAAATTATGCATTAATAATAACAATAATTGCTAATTAATATAAACAAACCGGCCTAATCATTGGTGATATAAACTCGTTATTTAACTAATTAATTAAACGAACCGGCCTAATCCTAGCTATATTATGCATCACATTAACTAATTAATATTTATATTTAAATTTAACTAATTAAATTACGTTAATAGTTTAATAATATATTGTTAATAATATGAAAATTAACATGACCTCACTAAACTACGTTAATAGTTTAAATAAATGAACAACTAACCTCACTAATTAATTATTAAGCTAATAATTAATTATTATTATATAAAGAAAAAAGAATCCTAATTACCTCACTAATTAATTATTAAGCTAATAATTAATTTATTACGCAATTAAAAGAAATTAGTTAAAATGACATACCTTATCTGCATAAACTGGGAAAATGATGAACTGACGGATTACATCATTCAATCTTTAAACCGATACTACGTTACTCGAATCTACGAATTTTTGAACTGATAATTGTTGTTCTTGCAATTGTAATGGACGATGGGGTTGGGTTATATAAAAAAGTTTGTCACGGATTTGTTGAGAATTCCGGAGTACCGTGATATGTAACTAGATCGTCAAACTCTTTCCCAGCCGGACAAAAGGTACAGTATCACAAACAGACAGATGAAAGCTAGGTCTCTACCCGAAAAAAGGCCTTGTTATCATCTAGATCGACGTAAGAAAAATAGGGTCACAGATTTATCCGTGACAACTCTTTTTCCGTACCGTATTATTAAAGGTTACCGCTGGAAAATCAATAATTGAGGCTTGTCACGGATTTTGTCACGGATCGATCCGTGACAAAGTTTTTTTGAAATTTGTCACGGATTTGTCACGGAACAGTCCGTGACAAATGCCCGGAAGCAAAAAAAGTATTCACCGGAGTAAAAAACCGGTCGCCGGAGTAAATTTGTCACAGACCAAATCCGTGACAATATTTTGTCACGGATTTTGTCACGGACCTATCCGTGACAAAACATTTTCGTGACAAATCTCAATATTCCGTGACAAAGCCCGTGACAACTTTGTCACGACCGTAATCCATGACAAACGGTGAGTTTTTTTGTAGTGCCAATATGCACTAAAAATAATGTAAACATGCAGGGGTGAGATCACATACAAAGTAGTCATCACATTCAAATCATCTTTACATTATTTGTATTGCACATTAAAGTTCAAAGTGTTTCATATTATTCAAGCTATAAAATAGCAGTTTCATATTTACATTATTTGTATTGCATATTGAAATTCAAAGAGTGCATCTTTACATTATTTGTACTCCATATTGAAGTTCAAAGTGTTGCATATTATTGAGTTTGTAGGTTAGTAAGTTAAACATGGTTTGTATGTGATCTCACTCCTATATATATATATATATATATATATATATATATATATATATATATATATATATATATATATATATATATATATATATATAGGGGAGGGTTCAGGTGAGAATGATGTTCCAGGAGAGAAATAAGAATGCAATCTAACCATTCACATATACAATCGTGCGACTGAGATAACACTATCCGTTTTGAAAAATGACATGTGATGTGCACATGGTAGGATATCAATTGAAAAGATGGCATTATAATAATGAGTTGAGGGCATTTATGTAAAAGATTTAAAATTTGTTTGCACGTATGAGTGTTCACATGGAAAGTTGGTTCTAAAAATTAGGCTATTATTAATTAATGTCATGTGGCTCCCTTATATTCAACACCGTTTATTATAATAAATATTTGACTCTCTTTGCACATAAGATATTCTCTCACACGTAATTCAGTTAATTAATTAAAAAAAATCTATTCATTTGGGCATGAATTGTTTTCACGTGATCCTTTTTTTCGGATGCAACATTTTGTGATTTGTCCATCTGCACTCCATCGTTGAATAACTGCACTTTTATTCGAAATTTTATGCACAACCAATACGTTTGGGCTCTAATAAGTATTTATATACTCAGATTTTAAAAATCATATGTATTTCCATTAAATCTCCGACCAATAACCAATTTGTATAAATAATGAATATTTAATTTGCACTAATAGTAACTTAAATAGTAAACACAATTGATTACAGTGAAGGTAAAGAGTAGTAATATTTTTATTATATTAACCTTTACGCTTTAATGATTAATCTGCACTTTACTTTTTGTAGTTGTGCACTTCTATATATTTCTAAATAACAATGAAAATAATCATACGTGGGTGTAAATAAATTGCTATTATGTGCATTTCAAATATAAACAAAAGTGCACTATTATAACATACTTTGTAAAATTCTATGTTGGTTCTTTCTTACAAAGTAAAATATATTTTTATTGTGTATGTTTTAAATACATGCAAAAGTGCACTATTATATCACACAATTTAAACGATCGACATTTTTATAAATTAATGCTCTTTTTCTTTCAAAAGTGTGACAATTATCTGATTATGATATCATCTTTTAGTGTTACCTGTATATGCACAAAAAGTAAAATAAAAATAATGAAGAGTGCATGAATAAGATATGATAAGTGCATCAAAGTAATCTAAATTATGATGTGCACTTACATATCAATTGTTGTGCACTTTTCAATAAACATGAAATGAATTCTTATAAACATGACGTACTGCATCTTTGTTATACATAAAAATGTCTTTAAAATAGATAAATAAAAATAAATAAAATAAGAAATAAAACACTAAATAGAAGATATATGTAAAATACAAAAGCAAAATATCATGAAAAAATAAAACATAAGATATTGTACATAAATCATAAATTGATGAAATAATCAAGAAAAGAATAAACAAAATTTGAATGAACGGATGATCAGATAAAAGAAATCATTTTGACCGGGTCAAACAAATGAATAATATTTTGATAAGAATATACTACGTATTAGGTAAAATACTCTATAATAGTTATGGAAACAATAATTTGTTATCTTAAATATGATGAGAAGTCAAATATATGCCACGACAATTCTTAGAAGGAAAGTGGCCAAAATGACTTTTGTGGCCTTATACGAACTATTTTAATAATTTAAATGCTAGTTCAATCTAAGGGCTCTCATTCATTTTCTCTCCTAAGATGATTTTCTCACTTGAACCTAAATATATATATATATATATATATATATATATATATATATATATATATATATATATATAAACATGACATGCAACATTGATAAATAATGTAACATCAGGTTTTAACATATATTGAAGTGTATAATACAAATTATCATTTTCAGAAATAGTGTTTACAAAACGCTAAAAACGACAACCTAATCATTGGGGAAATGATACAACAATAATAGTTGATTAAGATCATCTCAACACAATGGAAAACCGCGAGAAATAATGAATAATATTCTGAAAAATAATACAGGAAAATGCGTGTGTCAGGCAAGGTTGTGATATATCTTTGATTATATATATTTAGGACTAATTTTGTTCTTCATCGGCTTGCTGCTTGTCATGATCAGCGGCAGCGGCAGCGGCAGAATGGTCCTCCCCCTCTTCAGACGCCGCAGAAGCATTCCTTTTGTGGGTGGCGGTAAGGACGTGCTGGTAGCTTCCCTTCTCCATGAAGAGTTGAGCAAAATGGTGCTTGCAGTAGAGCACTCCATCTAGTGCGGCATATGTTGCATGCGTCAAAGGACAACCTCCATGTGCGCACTTGAAGCATGACTTGTGATATGACTCCCCCTCCATCGTAACCTACGCATGCATATATATAATATAACAACCATTAATGAAACTAAAACATAATACTCCCTCCGGTTCTTATTAAAGTTCCCAGTTTGATTTCACACATATTAAGAAAATGAATTTTGACTTTACTGTGGAGTGCACTGTTTGACACTGTTTGGACACTGTTTGGCACTGTTTTGCATTGTTTTGTTTCCCAAAATGGAAGTGTGAACTTAAATAAGGGACATCCCAAAAAGGAAAGTGGGAACTTTAATAAGAACCGGAGGGAGTATATTTTTTCATATAGGTTTTTATTGTTTTCCCCCAAATAAGACACACTTTTCAATTGAATTATTAATTATTTTTTCTTTATAGAATGAAATAAATCATATTCTTAAGAGAGAGAGAGATGTAGATGATTATTATGGTAAAGCTAAGTTTGCATCCATTTCCTATCTATGTTTTCTTGGAGTGAGTACCGTTTTACATGTCTACGTCCAAAAGGTTGAATCCCCAACCCCAAGGGTCCCTCCATCCCGACCCGACAGGATGGTGGGGAAGTAAATCACGGTGACTCAGTCGGCAAAGCGGCGGTAGACCTTTACCCGTGCGCATCAGAGGGTCAGCCTTATTTCAGGTTCTGAAACCTCTTTTGGCCGCTGCGGGATTCGAACCTTGGTCTACGTCCAATTTTTCCCACCGCTCGACCAACTGAGCTACCCGTGCGGGTACCATTTTACATGTCTATGTTACATTGATAGTAGGTAAATCACTAACTTGGACCAATGTAAGAGTAGGTACATCTTACAAATGTCATCAAAGCGATTAAACGAGGACAATGTAATAGTAGCATTGCTTAATGCAAAGAACTTAAATGAGAAAAAATGGACCTTCTCAAGAGGATAGACCGTTTTGGTGCAAGAAGCACATTTGTCTTGGGTTCCAGAGAACATGGCAGAATATTTGCTTGAACTCTTTGTCTGCATACATACATATATGCATCAAACAACGTAACGTTACTAATGGAGTATAAGACTCATTATTTTATGGTTTGGAAGTATGATGACATAAAACAAATGATTTATTAAATTGTCTGCGCTTCTTTATTGTGAAGCAACAGTCAGTTCATACAAATTTTGACGTGATTTTCATATTGAATCATCCAAAAACGGTCTATTTGTGTTTTAGTACAGTTGTAAAGACTACTTATATCCGACCTTCTACCCATTGCATGAAGGCATCCCCGCAAAGTGATGATTCGGTGAAGTCTAGCCACAAGGGTGTATAAATAGAAAGTCTTCCCAGTCATATTTTGACAAGAGACCACTTTCAAGACTATAACCGGTGACCTCTCAGTCACACAAGAACAACTTAACCGGTGCGTCAAGGCTCCCCTTTTAACATTGTTACTTTCACGAAATTTATAAAATTGTAAACAACTGCTTTAATATATACATAACATACTATGTATAAATGTTAAATAGAACACACTAGGCATAAACTAACTATAATTATTGAATATATATTAAACGTACCATTGAATTCTCCCTCTCTGGAGGCTTCGCTGTGTAAGGATGTCACAAACAAACATTTAAAAGCATTAATCGACAAAAATTAAAAACATACATAATCAACAAATATAAACTAATGAAATCATTTTGTAGTGGTATTGGTCCACCTCCATTGGGCCATCCTTGAGTTGCCTTTGGTCCACCTCATTTAAGGAGTTGGTCTCCTATTTATTGCCCTGGCCCATTTGGGCTGCCTACCCGACCAAGCCCATTCCCTTACCCGTTTGTCTTATACCCAGTCCATGCCCGTGTGACCCTCTCTTATATTGTCTGGTTCTTCTGGAATCTCCTATTTCAGACCTTCCACCTTCTCTCTATCCGATGTCTCTCCTGTTCAGTTACCCTAGACCTAGAGTGAGAGAGTGTCGATTTCCTCTGAGCTTTAGCTCCGGCTTTGCTCCGGTGAGACTTTGGGGTTCCTATTGGGGTCTTCACTCTAGTCTGGTAGTGTGGTGGGTAATTGCTGCTCTGGTGGGTTTTCTGGGCTGGGGTCTGGGTTCTGAGTGTGAGGGTTAGTTGGTTGTCGCCCTTTCGTCTTCCCTGGTTGTATCCCTTGTGGTGAGTGTGAGCAAGCCTTTGGGCTTTGTGGTGATTGAGGTCTGAGCCGGTCCGGTTTTCTAACACATTTATTCTTTATTTAATATTTAATATACAAAAAAACATATAGTATAACTTACAAGTGTGAAAGTTCTTGCTAAAATTCCCAGATTCCTTGAAGAGTTGCTCAAAATGGGTCTTACAGTAAAGAACTCCATCCATGGAAGAATAATTGCTCATCTGTCCCGATCAAAATCCATCATTTAGACTGGTGTCCCGAATAATAAAAACAATAATATGCAAGCATATCTAATACACAAACATATTTAGGGGATCACATTAGGCCCCTTACCACCCCAAATTTGATGAAATTGTGCATGAAAATTTATGCCCAAAAAACTTTGTGTCGGGTTGTCCGCCTAACACAATTTATATCTCTCACGTCATGAAATATGTATCAACACTTAATCTCTTTTAATTCATATGTAGATGAAATTTTATCAATCCAGAATCTGAAAGATAAATGAACTATCAATAAAGGATGTGAAAGATGAAATGTGTCGATGTAGGACTCGAATGGTTAAAAATTGACAATCTAAAACCTAAATTGTCATCAAATTCTAAATATTATTTTAAACCTAATATTTTAAATTTTTATTTTAAATTTTTCAAATATTATTTAATTTTACTAAACTAATAAACTCTTGTAAACAAAAGTTCATCAAAATTAGCAATGGAATTAATAGAAAAATCAAAACCTATGATATTTTAGTTTTGGATTGACATATTAATTTAATCATCAGATTCCTATGCCCACACAGTTTATCTTTCACGTCCCTGATTGATAGTCGATCTATATACGATCGATCACAACAACAACACAAACAATAACGTACCACAAGAGTGCCTTTGCAGTGGCTGCATTTGAAACAAGATTTATGATAGATACATCCATCAGCAGACAACAAATCGACAAAGTAAACAGTCTTGTCACAAGCCTTGCATTTATCCAATGTCCCGGTGAATGACATTTTTGCTCTTTCCTATTCCTTCTTTTATTGATCTATGTGATAGCTTATTTGCTTTTTTTTGTCTAATTAATTATATACTACGGATTATGTGTGTCTTAACATTCTAAAACATGAAAATAACTTTTGGTTGGGTTGAGACTAATTGGGGATAGAAAACCTTTGCTTTGGGAGGTAATACAGATCTCATAATGTGTTCCATCGTAGAAAAAATTGTTATGTTCTTTCATTACTTCCACACACGTGAATGGACATAAGGCTTAGGATGTTGAGAGACACGAGTTTCTTTGAAGGAAGTGCTTTTAGAGAATTTGTGGCTCCTTATATTAGTTATGTTAGTAGTTAATTAATTTATCACTTAACAAATTTTTAACGCAAACATTTCAAAGAGTAAATTTTTACACGAACTGAATTAACTCTTTGTAAAAAGGTTATTATACTGTGTTATCATTGTTACATTTAAAGTAAATGAAATATATCAGGAATCCGAGCCAAAAAAAGATAAAAGACAATTAACAAATAAAACACATAATAATGTTAAAACCTACTTTGTACTATATTTAAAATTAAAACAATCACATGTCGTCCCAACAAACTAAATAGTGCATTTAACAAAGTGACACCAAAATATCAAATTCAATACCATGGATGCATTGGCATTTCAACCCACACTAGAACCATCACCACGAGCTTTAGGACAGGGAGTTTGTGTTTAATCTCTGTAAAGCTGCACTGATTTAATTTTATGTCTCTTTGCATGCCACATGTGGATCATGCACACCCTTGCATGAGAGATGCTCTAAGCGTTGTAATGTGGAGATTGTAAGAGCATTTTCAATGCTACAATGTGCACAATGTACATGTGACATAAGAGATGATCACGTAAATATTAGCAAATAAATTATTTATCTTCTTATTTAAATGGTTTTATACAATTGTGGTAAGTTTTTTCCCACAATGTTAAACAGACTGTCTAGATATTGACATTGTAGTTGACAGTGCAGAGAAAAAATTTACCAAAATTGTATAAAATCTTTCAAATGAGGAGAGAGATAATTTATTTGTTAATATTTATGTGATTATCTCTCATGCCACATATGGACATTGCACATTGTAGCATTGGAGATGCTCTAATATAATAATGTCGAATGACTAAACAATATTTTTGTAATAAATAAATTGATTTGATATGGTTTCATATGTGAAGATTTAGAGGTTATTTGGTAACACTTGACTAAATCTGCTGAAATTGATGAAATTTTGATTGAAGATGTTGAATTGGGTGACCTGCTAAATTATGGAAACATTTTTATTTTAATAAAATAAAGAAAAACTTATATAAAAATAGCTAAAATGGGTTCTATGGCAGCTTAATGCACTTCAATTTAAAAACTAATTCAAACTAACTTGAGAGTTATACGGGGTACAATTCACTGCATGAAAATGAGAGTTTAGTGCGATAAAACTGAAAACGGGTTAGAGCATGTAACACCCTGGCCTCGCAGGACTCGAGGTTGTTACTTCTGACCTCTAGTACTGTCCCCACAATCTGCCACTAGCTTTTTCCGTGCACTTTGTCCTCACTCGTGTGCGCCCTGAGAAACTTCCCAAGGGGTCACCTATCCCAAAACTACTCCCGTGCAAGCACGCTTAACTTTGGAGTTCTTGGGTGATGAGCTCCCTTAAAAGGAGATGCACATCTGTTGATATGAGTAGTACTTGATGGAGTATATGGGTCTGAGCCCCAGGACCCACATACTCGGAAGAACAGAAAGCACAAGACAACAGAATGGCGCCCTCGTCGGCCAAGACGCCCCCGTCGGCCGAGAAGAAGCCAACTCGGATTGTGGTCCTGAGTCCAAGAAACCCGGGTGCCCTCGTCGGCCGTGCCCTCGTCGGCCGTGCCCTCGTCGGCCGCGCCCTCGTCGGCCACGAAGACCTCCCAGAATCGGATTCTATACTTGCTCATTTGTACAGCCCATTAGAGGCTTTGTATTCGGCCCAGTAGCGGTCCAGTTGTAAATGGGCCTCCCAAGCCCAAGGCTTGGGAGCCCAACCCTAATTTTCTCTATAAATACTCCCCTTGGGAGTAGTTATAGGGGTTACAAAATCATTCTATTGAAGCAGATATCGCACTTCTCTCTCTAGCTCTCGCTTCTCTCTAGAATTCAGGAGATATACTCTATCATTTGGTGCTCTCGTTGAGAGCTAGAACAATCAAGTTAGCACCCTTCGTCGCTACCAAGCACAGCTAACCACTGATCATGGGGAGAACTAAGTCAAACCGCAACCTCGTCAGCAAAGTCATCCCTGAGGACCAAGAGCCCAGGGAGCACGATGAGGACGCCACGGCCGACCAGGTCGGCGGAGGGGGCCTCTTCCAGGAGGCCTTCAACCTCACGACGGACCTCCGCAACCAACTCAACGGCGAAGTCCCCGACGCCCGCCTCGGCCTGGAAAAGAAACGAGCTGAGAAAGCGGACCACGCCCCGGCCCAGCCTATGGCCGCGGCCTCTCCGTCCGTAGATCCTCAGGTCCAGGCCGCACTGTCGGCTATCATCGCCAGCTTGGCTCAGAATCCCACCGTCCTCAGCGCACTCTTGCCAAGGACCGGGGGAAACGTCACTCCACCTCCTCATCCCCAACCACTGGCCGACCAGATAGGCAATAATGAGGGGGTTGTGGCCCAGGACACGGCGTCGTCCCACTCCCACCCTGCTTCCCCTCTTCGGCCCGGGCAGACCCCAGCGCGTGGAAAAGCCTCTGCCTTCAATAGGCTAGGTGACACGCGCCGTCGTCCGGTTTCGGAGAGGATGGCGGGACGGATTGGTGATCCTCGTCCTGGCTCGCCAAGGGAAAGCTTGGGGTCTGTGTCCCGGACAGCGGACCAGCCCCGCCCGGACAAGGGCAAGGGAAAGTTGCACGAAGATGACGTGCGTCACCAGATCAACGCGGCTCACAACGAGCGCACGAGGAACCAGCCGGGCGGCGCTACGGCCACCAGGGACCCCCGAGACGAGGTCATCGCCCAGCTGGAAAGGAGGTTGGCTCAGATGGAGGCCAAGCAGTCGGCCAACATCCCTACGGCCGGCGCCTCCAACGACCCCGGCCTCAACGCGCTCATGAACAAAGTCAGCGCCCTGGAGAGGGAGCTGGCCGAAGGGCGGGGTGACCCCATCATCCAGGTCAGGACTAGGACCCCTTTCACCAACAGGGTCCTCTCGGCCCCCATCCCTGAGAAATACAGGGGGAACGCCATCAAGTCCTATGATGGCCGATCAGACCCCCAGGAGCACTTCAGCCGCTATCAAAACAACATGCTGATGGTGAATGCGTCAGACGAATACCTCTGTCGTTGGTTCCTCTCTACTCTCGAGGGGCCAGCGTACGAGTGGTTCAACGGACTGCCAGAGGGAAGCATTGACTCATGGCAGGATCTCGCCCAGCGCTTCCTCACTCACTTTGCCGGGAGGAAGCGCGCCAAGAAGTATTTCACCCACCTCCTCTCCGTCAAACAGCAGCACGAGGAGTCCCTCCGGTCATTCATCGACCGGTGGACGAGGGAGACCGAGGAGGTCGAGGGGGCCGATGAGCGCACCCTCCTCGCCTTGTACCAGGGAGCCCTTCGCAGCTCCCCGTACGCCAGGAGCCTCATCACTGACCCCCCGAGGTCGTACGCCAAGGCGCTCCAACGCGGAGGCTTGTATGCCGACGCCGACGAGCTCCACAATCACAAGAGAGAGGGGGGCCATCCCCCCAAGAAGACAAATCCTTCGCCGGCCTCGGGTCCGTCCCCGGCCGGCCAGGGTGCCCAGGGCCGCCACGGCTCTGGTGGACAAAGTAAGAAAGACCGCCACTGGCGGCCGAGGCTGGAACGGCCGGGGGTAACCCTCACCCACCCGGTCGGCACCATCCTCGATTATGCCGAGAAGCACGGCCTCATCGAGCAGGCTCCTCGGCCGGCCGAGGAGATCCTGGCCATCCAGCAGGGCGGCACGTACTGCCGGTTCCACAAAAACTCGTCGCACAACACCGACGATTGCATCACATTGAAGAAGGCCATCGAGCGCCTTATTTGCCAGGGGGAACTCTCCCAGTTTGTCAAAGGTGGCCCACGCAAAAACACTTGGGTAAACACCGGCAAACGTGGGGGCGAACCCTCTGCGAAGAAGCGCGAGATTGGTAGGCTCAGCGACGACGAGGACTTCGAGGAGCCTCCGCCGAAGAAAAATCACATCCACCTTATCGTAGGCGGGAACACTGGGGGGGACTCCGCCACTCAGAGAAAGAAGTGGGCCCAATCCCTTTACATTGGAGAGGTGTCCCACGTTCCCCCCCAGCCGAAGAAGCAGCGAACGGAGGCGATCACCTTCACCGACAAGGATCTGCCTCCGGGTACGGAGTCACACCGGGACGCCCTCGTCATCCGATGTGAGATCGGTGACTCCATCATCCACCGTACGTACATCGATACGGGGAGCTCCGTCAACGTGATGTACCTGGACACCTTCAAGCAGCTGAAGCTGGACAGAGCTCTGCTGAAGCCGATCAAGACCCCGTTATCCGGCTTCACCGGGGACTCTATCGACGCCGAGGGCACGATAGTCCTCCCCGTGGAAGTCGGTGACGGCCCCCGCCATGCCAAAATTGACATGGAGTTCATGGTGGTCAACCTCCAGTGCGCCCACAACCTGATCTTGGGCCGGCCAGCGCTGGAGGACTTGGAGGCCATCATCTCCATGAAGCACCTATGCTTGAAGTTCCCTACCAATGACGGCATCGGCTACGCCAGAGGAAATCAGAGGATAGCCAGAGCTTGCTACCTCAAGCTGACGAGGCCGGCCGAAAGGGAAGGAGAGTGGATAGACACCATCACGTCCGCCGTCGCCATGGACGAGGAGAGGCCACATGCGGAGCCGGCCGAGGAGGTCGAGGAAATCCCTCTGGATACCTCCCGGCCGGAGCGGGTTCTCAGGGTCGGAAAGCAACTCCCCCAGGACCAGCGAGACGCCATCCTCCTCGTCCTACGGTCATACGCCGTTGTCTTCGCGTGGGGCCCGGACGATATGCCCGGCATCAGCCGCCAGGTGATCACTCACCGGCTGACCGTCGATCCGGCCTTCGCGCCCGTCAAACAGAAGCGGCGCTACTTGTCCGCTGACAGGCGGGA